CCTGTAAAAGCGCAAAGAAAATTGAGTGGTACTTGAGAATTGAGGGCGAGGGTTACCGCAGATTAGAAACATACTTGTAGATTTCAGTTCCACGCCACACGTCCACACAATGCCATTTTTCAACTGTACAAAAGAATCTGCTTATGAATTTGACATGATCTTAAATGGTATCGTCAAAGGCCGAATTTTTCACCTGTTAATATTGTTTCACATTTGTCCTTGAATCTGAATAACTGCACAGTACTGTAAATGTAACTTACACCGAGTTTGATGTCAATTCTAGTGAAAAGAGCTTCTGCATGTAACACGTAAAGAACACAGCAGAGCACAAAACCTGCAGGACCAGTTCTGGAACCAACAGAAAATGTCACCTGTCATTTGCCATCTTATATATCAGTTCTACCAGCCACTTCTAAATTTGTACATTATTTGTAAGGAGAAGAAGGAAACCCTAAGACTTGTCTAACTTAGTGGAGAATGTGTGTGTTGGGTTTAGGATGATAGCAAAGTCTTAATTGAGCTGTGTTATCTAACTTGTATATACAAAATTGTAATTAAAAGTTTGGATTCACCTGTTTCTTGCAGTTTTAAAATGAGGACTTGCAAACTCTGGAAATGTGACTAGTCTATGACTTGAGGCTGTAGAAGTGAGGAAGCTCTTCAAGTGCTGAAATGAATGACTTCTAGTTTTTGGCTCAAATTCAATAAGTACTGTTTGTACACCAGGATATGTGAGATGTAAATGTGATAGGTCACGTTCACCCTTGTAGCTATAAAATAAAAATTTTGTAGAACAGAAATAGCTTGTACTACTGAATTTAACAAGTTATACTAAAGTATCATGTTTTTTAAACAATATATATATATATATACACACACACACACAGAGTTAAGCTTGTTGCTGTTACCCTGTCTGGATTTGAAAAGTGTGCTGAGATATATATATATATATATATATATATATATAATCTTACATATATATTATATACATGCACACATCTAAAATGGCCTAAGCAGACATCCGTGTAATTACAGTTGCAAAATGAAGACATTTTGGAAAGAACATTGTATCATAGTTCATTCATTTGCAGTGGACCTTTGTTCCTTTTGACTGTGGTAATTTTAGAAATGAGTGTCAAGTTTGAAATTAGATCTGCTAAGTTGGGGTTTTGCTGCTTGAACTCTGCACTGGGTCCTCAAATAAACCGATGTGAATGTAGTTTTTCCCCCTGTGTGAAGAAGCAGCCACACCCCAACAAACAGAATAGGAGGAAAAATATAGAACTATTTCAAGTTTTATCTTTTTGTATATGAAAATAAAATAATAATAATAATTAAAAAACAACCACCCTGTTGTCTCTCTTAATCACGTGGCAGGGGATTGAGATTTCTTTTTATGGGAATTGGGAATAAATAAAATGGTGTTCTCCCAGTGACAGGGCTGAATCGGACACCTTGTGAGTTCCTGCTTGGTTCCAACATGTGGTTAGTGGTCCAGTGCCTCGTCCACCACGGACGGGCCTGTGGGGCTGGAGACACTGGGCTCCTCCTAAGTGGACTGTTCTGGGACATTGGCCAAGTTCCTGTAGGGCACAGGTATATTTTCCAAATCTCCAAGATCCCCCAGGTACACCCTCCCTCCCCACCCACCACTCTTAATACTTTGCAGGCAACCCTGAGCAGTATTTTTATAAGTGGAACAGAGAGGCCTAGAAACTCAGTTATATTCAGGACTACTGCAGAATACAAGCTCTGCCATTCCCAAACATGGCTGCATAGCGGGGCCACTTGCCTAGCTATTGAGAAATAGAGTTCTGCCCTGGCCAGGTAGCTCAGTTGCTTAGAGCATCATCCTGATATGCCAAGGTTGCAGGTTTGATTCCTGGTCAGGGCACATAACACAAATCAACCAACGAGTGCATGGGTGGGTGGAACAACAAGTTGATGTTTATCTCTGTCCTTTTTCTCTAAAACCAACCAAAAAAAAGAGTTCTGAAGTACCGCCCCAGATCTGAATCAGCAAGCTAGGTCTCATGTTTTGGAGTTTTTATCTCACTAAAATGAAACAGGGTTCCCTGCTAATAAAATAACAGTAGTCTCTATTACCTAACAAAAAACAAACAAAACTCAGGAAAGCCCCAGAAATCACTGCACTGCTTGTCTTGTGACTAATAATTTAGTAAGTGGAGAGACACCAACTTTGAATCCTTCTGGTGGGGTTGATGCCTTTTTATTTACCCCTTATTATGAGGATTAAATAACCTGCTTGGAATTCTTGGGGAATAATTTCTTTTTTTAAAATTATTTTTTACTTTTTATTTTTTATAAGATTATTTATTTATTTATTTCTAGAGAGGGAAGGGAGGGAGAAAGAGAGAGAGAGAAACATCAATGTGCGGTTGCTGGGGGCCATGGCCTGCAACCTAGTCATGTGCCCTGACTGGGAATCGAACCTGCGGTGCCTGGTTCGCAGCCCATGCTCAATCAACTGAGCTACGCCAGCCAGGGCTGAATTCTTGGGGAATAATTTCTGATGAAGGATCCCTGTATTTAGGGAGCAGTTGTTCAGTGTTTGGTTTATTTTGTTCTTTCAGATTTAGAAAGCTCACCTTTTATTAGTGAGTGCCCCTCATTCTGAGCACAGAGGAGAGGAAGACGAAAGACTCATGTTTAAATGAGGGCCTAGGAGCTAGAGATGTTGGAAGGCTGGACCAGAGGAGACATTTGCTGGGTCATCTAGACAGACTTTAACTTCAGCAAAGGAATTTTTCTCATGAAAAGCAATGCACACAGAAGCTGGTTTGTAAAAGCAGTCTTGCCCAAGAGAGCAAACGGAAGAGAGCTTGTGGGCCCTTCCTTCATCCTGCCTTCCCTTAAGCCTCAAGTACCCCTGTGGAACACTAGGGGTCCCGTAGTTACAGGTTAAAAACGACTGGTCCACTCCTTTCATTGCTTATTTTAATATTAATTTTTTATTGATTGGTTTTAAGAGATTAATTTCTTGTTCCACTTGTTTATGCATTCAGTGGTTGCTTCTTGTCATGACCTGCCCAGAGATAGAACCTGCAACCTTGGTGTATGGGAATGATGCTTGAACCAACTGAGCTTCCTGGCCAAGGTCTACTCCCTTCATTTTAAAAGTGGGCAAACCATCCCAGAGTGAGGTACCCCCTCCCCTCGCCAAAGTCGTTGCCCTTCCACTTCTTTTTTTTTAATAAAGGCTTTCTTTTAAAGATTTTTATTTATTTATTTTTAGAGAGGGAAGGGAGGGAGGGAGAGAGAGAGAGAGAAACATCAATGTGTAGTTGCTGGGGGCCATGGCCTGCAACCCAGGCATGTGCCCTGACTGGGAATTGAACCTGTAACACTTTGGTTTGCAGCCCACGCTCAATCCACTGAGCTACGCCAGCCAGGACTGCCCTTCCACTTCTTGATGTCTTGGGCCAAGTGTGGGGTTCACTGTTTCCAAGTACAGGATCTAGATGAGGAAAAGTGACCTGCCATTTATCTTTCTAATGTTTTTAGCACAGTGTATACCACTTAGGAGGGCCTTGGAGAAACACCTCTTCAGTGAATGTGTATATTTAGTAAATCCTGGTGGAAGCTGCCAAAGTACCTTTGAAACCCACAGGTACCTGTCAGTGTGGCCTGGTGGTATATGTCAGGACTCGGCTGCAGATGATGTGGGGGAAGGAGGGTCTTCCTGGAAAGATCCTGAGGCCCGTGGCCCGCCGAGCCTTGGGGAAAGGCAGGAAACATCTGGGCTTCAGGAACCTTAGACACTGGGGCCACCGCATGGCAGACCTGCACCGTGTTTTAGCCTTTCTTCCTCTGGCTCAGTGTGGCCAGAAGCCTCAGCTCCTCTGTCTACTCAGCCAGAAACAAGGCTGTAGAAACTGTTGGCATTTTACACATCACAGCCTTGCTACCAGGAAAGAGTTCCAGATCCAAAATCCCTGGAAAGACTCTTGTTGACCCAGTTCAACCAATTAGGGTCAGAGGCCCAGGGGGTTATACAAAATGACTTCGAGAGCGGTATTCCTGAGGAGGGGCACAGCCACGAAACTGGTGAAACAAGGTCTACACTCCAGCTTAATGTCACGAATGGCCTCCTATTTAGTGAACTAAGTCCACATGGTTGCTGGGGACTGTGCTGAAAAAATGGAGACTCACTTATTTTTGAGTGGGAGTGCATAAAACATAAAACATTGTCAGCAAACTGGATCTTACATTCTATCAAGATAAAATAGAGATGACTAAACAAAAATTTCTAATATTTACAGAGACATGCCGCAGGTTCTTCCCTAAGCACGTTAACATGGTTAATCTCTAATTATCAGCATTGTTCTTCGCATTTTAAAGAGGGGAAATGGAAACCTAGAGTGGTGAAGCAACACACCCAAGGTGGAAAGTGGTTGAGGGGGCTCTCCAAACCCCTGCCCTCTGATTTAGGGTCCTGAGCCATCCTGGACTACCCCTGAGGAGGGGTCACGGAACTTGTGGAGGAACTTCTTAGGAGGTACAAAGTATTTTTAGAAGTTATGCTTTGTATACCCTGTGACTTCAAAGCCAGCTGTCAAGAAGACAAACCAAGGTGGCACAGGTTTTGGAATCGCACCTGGGTTGGAATCTCAGCTCTGAGGACCTTAGTGTAACCATGTGCAAGTGGGTTACTCATCTATGAAGTAGGACTACACCAAAGGTATTTTTTCTTCCTCAGGGCTGTATATGCACACTGCCGAGCCTTCAAGACGTCATCCATGCTCTCCACCCCATCACCTGGTTAAGTGGACCAGGGATGGAGGGGGATGCGCTAGGGCCTCCAGGTTTATCACCAGGGGGCGCGCGAGACCCTGCACGCGGAGGGGGAGTATTCGCATTCTTTGCCTCAGAGTGGCCAGAGAACTAAAGGTAGCGCACGGGTATCTCAGTCCCACGGTTGTGATTGGCTCTCGGGCGGCAAAGCCGGTGTGCGCCTGCGCTGCAGCAAAAGGCGGGTACCTCGGGCAAGATGGCTGCCAAGAATTTTGCATTTGGCGTGAAAGGCTCCCGGCGCTTTTTAAGTGGTTTCGTGGCCGGAGCCGTAGTGGGCGCCGCGGGGGCAGGGCTCACGGCCCTGCAGCTCCTCCGAAGTCAGGGCGCTGAGGCCGCGGTGGCGGTGAGGGAGCCGGACGGTAAGTCTGTGGGCCCGCTTTCCCTTCCCCGACCCAGGTGTCCGGCTCGGGCTCCTACCTGCGACTCCAGTCGATCGTGTTCCTCCGTCACGCGCCAGTCTCTCTCCCATCGCCCTGCCCGTGGTTTTGAGCCTTTGCACTCTCCCTGCTCGGCCTCCTTTCCCCACGTCCCGTCTCGGCTGCCTCCTTCATTGACTTCCGGCTCCCGGGGATCTTCATACACTTCTCCAAAATACTTAATGTGTGTGTCCCCACACTAAATGGGGGGGGGCGGGGGGGGGCTAATGATGTCGCTGGATCATTAACTCCTAAGAGCTCCGGCCAGGTCTGTTTTGTTCTCCACCATAATCACTGTACGGTACCTGGACCACAGTCGACATTCAGGAAGTATGGATGAATGAATGAATGAATGAATTCACAGTAGTTTTAGCGGACTAGTGAACTGATTACATTTTATCATGGTTCACATGAAGAATGCCTGCTAAGTATATACATCCTCACGTCCCAGGTGTGCCTTATATTTGACAAAGAAAATGAGCCCATGCTCATTTTTACACTTGCCCGGCCGTGCTCATTTCACTTGCCCCTTTGATGCTTGGCGTTTAGCAGCAGAGCTGGGTATACCTGTGGGTGCGTACTTGGTTTCTCCCACTAGGAAAAAGCCCAGTTTTACCACTGTCTTGCCGCAGCACACATCACTGCTCTGATGCCAGAACCATGAGACAGTGTTAATGAATGCTGGTCTTTTTAAAAATTTAAAAGGGTCGTGTTTTAGTCCCCACACTAAATCTTAAAACGTAGTGAGTAGGCTGGCTCTTTCCCATTCGATTATATCAATGATGAGTAATGACAAGAGTTTTTCCTTTGCTGTTTTTGTATGCACGAGTACTTGGTGGGGCGGAGATTTGAAATTTTGATGTGAAAGACCGATCAGATCAGGTCCTTATTTACAAGTGAATGAGATGGCTGCAGTTTGTGTTGGCAAAACCGTACAACCGATTATAGGCACAACCAGTGTTTTGTCTGTTGTCTCTTTTCTGTGTGTTGTAAGTCATTGCAAAAATGAGACCTCTTTGTTGATTAGACTTTTGAGCCTGTCCTTTGTCTTACCCCTTTTCCTCTACTTACAATTTTTTGTTCCCAATAAAAGTCGCTAATGTTATGACTTTTGTCCCCCTCCCGCCCCTTTTTTTCATTTTTAGGTTCTGCAGAAAAGTCTGTCTTGGGACGATTTGGATTTCCTCTGAGTGGAACAGAGACTAGGTTTTACACTAACCATGCCTTGTCTTACGACCAGTCAAAGCGGGAGCCTAGATGGGTTCTTGAACACATATCCAAGAGCAAGATAATGGGTAGGTGGTGAGAAGTAACAGCATTGATGAAAGATGTTTCCTAATCTGCAACAAGGGCCATTACTGATCCTCTCAACCTTCTTTACATGACAGCACATTTACAAAAGGATGATGTTTGTGTAGCTCACTAGGTAAATGGACTCTGCTTGGCGGCCAGGGAGCCCCAGGCCCTTCCTGGGTGTCTTGGGCTGAAAAGATTCCTATCTTGACACACAGGTGGAGACTCTTGCACAAATATGGCTGCAGTGAGCGCTGTTCATTCATCATGTCCACAGAGACCGCGTACGTGCCTGCCATGTGCCTGACACGGTGCTAGGCCTTGGGGACGTATCAGTGACCAGAGTGGATGTTCTTTGCCTCCATGGCACTGGGAGTTGGGGTGGGAGTGGGCTGACCTATCACATAGTCATGAGTGTACAGTTGCAATTGGTGACGGCTCTTCTGAAGGAAAAGGGATTGGAAGTCGGGTTTGTATAACTAAGGAGCGGTAAAGAGTGTGAGAGATTGTAACAGGAGAACCTGATTTTGATTAGCGAGGCTTCTCTGACAAAGTGCACGTGCTGACAAAGTGACAAAGGGTGCACATGGCAGTCACCGAGGCAGAGGAGTTGGGGCCATGCGTTAAGGAGAAAAGCATTCCAGGCAGGAAGGAAAGCACAGTTGCATCTTTCAAGGCCCCAATGTGAAGAGTTTTGTTCCTTTGGGAACTAAAAGAAGGCCAGAGTGGCTGCAGCAAGGGAGGACGTGATGGGAAATGAGACTGGAGAGGTAGGGAGCTGTGTGAAGTCTGTGCCGGTGTCCTTACGTCTTGGTAGATTCCTGTAATTAAGGTAACCGGAACTTGATATTCAATGTCAAGTTGGTTTCTGAGTAGATTGTTTCAGTTTACACTCCCACCATTGCTATTTGTCCTCTCTCTCCCAACCCTTCCCCGTAGTGGGCATTACTCGGCTTTACCATGGCAGTAGCTGACTTGTGTTTATTAGTTGCCAGTGAGGGTTAATATATCTTGGAATTATTCTTTCTTTGTCAGTTATCCTTTACTATTTTCAGTTGGGGTATTCTTATTCTTTTTTAATTGATCTGTACCTTTTGTCATAGTTGTTTTATTCTCATTTTGTTATTTTCCTTTTCATTTGCTACATGGCCCTCAGAGTGTATCTCCTGTGCTCTACCATGCACGCTATGTTTATGTGTGTACAAATGCCCCTATTAAAACAGTGTGCCTTTGTAGAGTGCGCACTGCCCAGCGGGAGAGCAGGAGGTCTGGCGTGTGCTTGCGGCTCGGGTGAAACTGACGGAGGGGTAAACTTTATCACAGCAGTTGAGACTGGATCGTAAATTTACATCAAGGGAAACCCATTTGATTTAGTTTCAAACCTAATGAGTTTTTTTTTAATGTACTTTTTTTAAAAAGATTTTATTCATTTATTTTTAGAGAGGGAACGGAGGGAGAAAGAGAGAAACATCAATGTGCGGTTGCTGGAAGCCATGGCCTGCAACCCAGGCATGTGCCCTGACTGGGAATTGAACCTGTGACGCTTTGATTCGCAGCCCATGCTCAAACCACTGAGCTATGCCAGCCAGGGCTAATGAGTTTCTTTTAAATGCAAAAATTTTCCCAAGATATGAGAAATTTTGGCTTTTACTAATTTTAGCCTGCTATCAAGTTATTTCTTTCAAAGGCATATAAGAAAAGCATCGAGTTTCTTATAGTAAACCCTGTGAGCTGTGTAATTTTGAGGAGGTAAAATACAGCCAATTACTATTACTGGTATTTGAAAACAGAAAGAAATATACCTGTGATTTACTTGATTTTAGTGTAAAGCGTCTTATTTTTAGTAATGACAGGCTAATCACACTAACTCTCCTGCTAAAAATGATGTTATGCGTGGTATATAAAATGCATATCGAAAAATCATAAACACACGAAAATGAAGAGCCGACATGAGAGTGAAGAACTCCCAGGCTAATATTTGGGGGAGAGCCAGACTCCAGAGGGGTAAGCAAGGGCAGGCCTGGCAAAGCCAAGCCGCATTGCCTTTGGTTCCGTGGCCTTACAGGGTGAGGGGGACCGAAGGCAAGACCTAGGGTTCACCCAAGGGTGATTGTCGTGTAGGAGACCCTCCCAGCATTAACCTGGAACCTTGGAGGGCTGCACCCTTGGGGAAGGGTGAACCAGAACTAACTTGCTTGCCCAGCGTGGGGGATTACATGGAAGGTTGTCTTGGCTCTGAGCATAGAGGAAAATAAAAAGCTTGTTCTGGAGAAGCCGATTCCCCAAACTGGCTAGCTTGGAGACTTGTAGCCTAAAGCCATGTAGCCTGCATCGATGAAGGAAGCTGAAGTGCTGAGCTTGGTTTAATGTGGCCCTCCACGCCAGGGAGAAGTGAGTGCGTATCCTTTCTCCAGGAAGGCCTCCCATCCTCGGCCCTTAGAAATTCCCACAGATGGTTTTCCAAGGGCAGTGGGCACCAGGCAGAGATAACCAACCAGGCACAGAAGTGATTCCAGTAGGGACGACACTTGGAGAAGTACACCAAAGACTCTTCTCTGTTACCAGGTACTTTTTCTTGATGGAGATTCTAAAAATCTAGGTACAATATGAGAATCTTGACTCTGAACCTGGGGATCTAATGAGTTAACATTTTTTCATGGATGCATGAAATGACATTGGAGTCAGTAACTCTGTTGATCTCCATTTAACACTTGTTTGAGTAGCAGCCTGGGTATATTTCATTTGTCTTCATCATTTTTGCAACTTATCAGGGTCTGTCCTAATGACAGTGGAAGGTGTAGTGTTAGGATTTGCTGATGACCACTCTGGCAGACTGTTCTGGAGGTTTCAGAATATAAATAAAATTGAGATTTCTTCTCTCCTGAGTGGTACTCAGATGTTTTTCTTCAGGATTTTTCTGGATTGAGCTCATCACTTAAGTATTTGTTTTGTCACGGCAGAAAAGGCAGTGAGATATCAGAGACACTCTCCCCTTCCCTAGGCTGTGGCTGCCCAGAACAAATTGTTTTGTGTCTATATATATCCATTATTTCAGTACATGTGAACATGTCAAATACAGTGGTGCAAAGTACAATACGTGGGGGTCTTTTTAAAAAGCAGGAGTTTACTTAGTAGCTAAGCTTTTTAAACAGCTTAGTTATTTGATGGGTCATTGTTTTTATGTAAATATTATCCAGGGGATTTTTTTCCCCTTTAAGGTCAGAAACGAAAGCATATGAGGTAGCTACACTGTATGAAAAGCATTCTTTCCTAGCTGAGTCCTTGCTAAATTCAGATGAAGTATCTGAACTATCCCAGGAACTTGAGACATGCGTGCAGTCACTCACTGCCAGCTGCTCGGAGAGATACTGGCCGGAGCAGCCAGCTTGCCTTGCTTAGAGAATTGCAAGGGGTATTTGTCCACGGAAGACTTACCCATTTTGTGTGTTTTTCTTCAGGTGATGCAGACAGAAAAGATTGTAAGTTCAAGCCTGATCCCAGCATCCCTGCGACCTTCAGCGCCTTCAACAAGGACTACATTGGAAGCGGGTGGTCGCGAGGGCACATGGCCCCAGCCGGAAACAACAAGTTCTCAGCAGTAGGCACATTCTGGGGGCGGGGCTGCGGCTGGACCCTGGGACCTGGCTATATTAGAGACACAGGAGCCAGCCTTCAAACCTGAGACCTTCTGCATTCCGTTTCTGGATTTTTCTTCCTGGCTTTAGTTTTTTTCTCAGATACTGAGACATTTTAAAACAGGTCGAATGAGGAAAGCTAATGCTATTTAAGAGGGAACTGGAAAGCCAGTAGGAGATAAAGCTACTCTTATTTGGAAGACAGATAGAAAAGCTAGAAAGAGAGTACAGCAAACACATTTTGATGCATTTACTTTACATGTGTGTGTTCATATATAAACACATATGTACACACACACACACATAATTTTAACCATTGCAGACATCATAACACTTCATCCCAAAGTAGATTGCTTAGGAGATTAAATCATTTAAGAATGAGGTTATTTGTAGATATGACAGAAGTATCACTATACCAAGAAATGTATCCAAATGTGTTTTTGTATATTTGTACAATAACATCTAATATACAGTTCACATTTCAGGTTTGCCAAATTGTCTCAATTATCTTTACAGCTCTTTTTGGATCTAGTATCCAGTTGTCAATCACACAGTACATTTAATTGTCCTATCTCTCTGGTCTTTTCTAACTGAGGATAATTTTTCTGCCAAAAAAGGAGAGAAATATCTTTCATGACATTGATATTTACTGCATGAATTATTGGTGATTATCATCATTAAGACACTGGTTCTCAATTTTGAATACTCATTATAATCACCTGGGGAGGTTTTAAAACTCCCTGACGCCCAGACCTGTGACCCAGAGCAGTTACGTCAGAACTCCCGGGGGTGGGACCCAGGCGTCAGTGTTTTTAAAGCTCCCGGGTCACTTCGCTGTGCAGCCCAGGGTGAGAGGCACTGCTCGGGGAGACAGCCACGGCGGCTTTGGCAGTTCCCGGAGCTCCGTGAGGGGAGCGCACTCACAGAGCTTTGTGTTTGGGGTCAGACGTATGAAATGAAGGAACAGGTAGTGGTCAGAACAAGAATGTTTTGTTGTTTTTTTTTGCCACTGTTAAACTAATTATATTGGTACTGTACTATTTAAATAAAATCCCTGAAAGTTGACCTTTGAAAAACTCTTTGCCAGAGGCTTAAAATCAGAATTTAGCTTCATGTTGGAAACTTTTATTTTCTTAAGAGTCTGCACTAGAGGCTTGAATTTTATAAATTATGAAGAACACTAGCACATCAATCTACTTATTTGGATATAGTCCTTATTTTGAATGATCATTGAGCTCTCTGTCCTGGAATACCTGTGACTTTCATTCATCTGAACAAGTAATCACTGCCGTGACCAGTGTGGCTCAGTGGGTTGAGCATCGCCCGGCAAAGCAAAAGGTCTCTGGTTCGATCCCCCAGTCAGGGCACACACCTGCCTGGGTTGCGGGCCAGGTCCCCAGGTGGGAGCGTGTGAGAGGCAACCAATCTGTGTTTCTCTCCCTCTCTCCTCCCTTCCCCTCTCTGAAAATAAATAAACAAAACCTTAAAAAAAAAGCAGTCACTGTAATTGTCTAGAGCTGATGTCTGAGTAAGGAGCTGGTTTTCTGTATCAGCTTTGTAAAGTCCCTCCCAGGGGAAGGCATTTCAGTACAAGTTACTATTGTTGTGTCTTTTCACAGAAAGCAATGGCTGAAACCTTTTACCTTTCTAATATTGTGCCTCAGAATTTTGATAATAATGCTGGATATTGGAACAGGTGAGGGGTGAGAGTTTGAAGCCTGTGAGTGTGTGGGAGATGGATGATGTGTGGAGAACGTACCAGTTGCTGATGAACTGTTTCTGTCTTTGTTTTTCAAAAGCCGTTACTACTGCCGGTAGTGCTTTCATTAAGCACTGGAGACTGGTTTTCTTCGCTGTGTTTCAGAAATAGTTTCCTAGGGAAGTACAGATTTCAGAACATAGCCATTTTGATCGTGTTTGCTACTGGCCAGAAGTCAAATTCTGGAAGAAACTACTAACAGTGTTATTACTGAGGCATAAAATATTTGTGAATGTGTACAGAGGACACTAGTCTAGTTGCTGAGCTTTAAAAAAAATTTGGTACAAGTAAATGTGACCATTAGCCAGTTTCTCAATCACGTGTGTCGGGGATCTCTGTAAGTATTTGAGGCTAGCACTGACTAAGGTTGTTTCGAGCTATTGCGTTTTCCCCAAACAGTCCTTTCGCGGTTTAAAATAATTGAGAGAGCACCTGCACACTAAGAGAGACTTCAGTAAGGATCACTCGTCAGTTGCGGCCCACATCCGTTTTGTCTACGCGTCTGCCCTCCCCCCTGCTCAGATTGCTTTGAGCAGGTCACGGATATATTATTTTAATATTTCAATGGATGTTTTTAGAAGATAAGGATTCTTTTAAAATATGAGTATGGTGCTATTGCTCCTCAAACATTTAATAGTAATTCCTCATTACCAATTTTATAATCTGAGTTCAAATTTTCTTAATTTTTTTGGTGGCAGTTGATTGGTTTGAATCAGGATTTAAACAAGGTCTCCATGATTTTGGGTGATATTTCTGAGTTCCTTTTAATCTGTAGGTTTCCCTTCCTCTTTTTTCCCCTTGCAAATTATTTGTTGAAAATCTGGGATATTTGTCTTGTAGTTTCCTTTTCATATTCTGTCTGATTGCATACCTGTGGAAGCATGTATCATTTTTCTCCCCTAAGGGATATATTTTTGGGAGGAAAACTACTACTCTGTTATTGGGCATATATGCTGTAAGATACAATATTGATTTTCCTTTTTGGGTGAGGAGACAGGATTGGTGGTGTATGCTGTTTTCTCATAAAACTCCTTCAACTATGGTATAAGAAAGTGCACAGTAAAACTACTTGCCATTTTAACCCAGCAAGTTAACACAAACAGTTTTTAAGTGTTAAAAACCCAGTGTGGTAAAGATTGTTGTAAAACCACTAGGCCATTTTGGAGTTTACAGAGTAAATTGGGACAATCCCTTTAAAAATATTAGTGTTATATGTAATCAACTGTCATTAAAATATTTAGTAAAGTGATTCTGGCCCTTGAAAGTTATCCTAAGGAGTTAATACAATGTTGCATTATATAAGAAGTGTTAGGATAAACCTGGTTGTCCTGCAATAGGGATGGTTAAATAAAAAGATATCAACTTGGAATGATGTTTAATTCTCGTAAAAAGTTTGACAACTATGGCTTAGAAAAGTAAGGGAGAAAACAAAATTTCAGTTACAAAATGTACGTGGGATGCACACACAGTAAAATGTAGATGGTTGTATTAATGTGTGCGATTTTTTTAAAGTTCTTTTTGTGCAGTAAGCAAACGGAAAAGCTTATAATGTTTTGTGCCATATTCTCTTGTTTATATTAATGTCTCTGGATCAGTATTCTTGGCATCTTTCCTTGGGACTGATATGGTTTGCTTCTCTTCTACATTTAAGCCTGTGAGTATATCATGCTTTTTTTTTCTCTTGCTTTGTTTTTCAGAATTGAAATGTACTGTCGAGAACTGACAGAGAGGTTTGAAGATGTTTGGATAGTGTCCGGACCGTTGACCTTGCCGCAGACCGGAAGCGATGGGAAGAAAATAGTTAGTTACCAGGTGGGGACATGTTCTGACATTCAGGGCTGTGCTCTTTGTAAGCGATTGTAAGCTGCTCCTGTCTTCTACTTTTTATCTCCTTGATTGAACAGTATTCATTGAACGTCTGTTGGGGTGATAGGGGATATAAGGATGGATTAGAAAGCAACCATGGGCTTCAAGGGACTTGCAGTTTAGAAAACGAGACAGACGTGTATTTAATTAATTGTATTAAAGTGTGATATGCTGTCCTAGAGGTAAATAGATAACTGAAATGGTGTCAGAAGGACTGACCAACCCTATCTGTGTGGGTCTGGAAGACTTAACAGAGGAAAAGGTTTTTGAGCCTGAGCTAGACAGGCGAGTAAGCGCGAGCTGAGTCGGGGAGGGACGTGGGAGCGCCGGGCCTTGGCGGGGCCGGTCAGCAGCATGGCTCTGGGCTTAGGTGCCGTCAGTAAGGCAAGACTGGAGCTAATGGGACAGAAAGTGTGGGTGGCCCGAGGAGGATGAGGTTTTCTACAACAACAGGTAGGACGGGGGCCGGATGATAGAGTGCTTCGTATTCCAGGAAGAGTTGGTTTTTAAATTTTGGCACTGAGAAGTCACAGGATTATTTTAGGCATGGGAGACGTGATTTGTCTTGGGTTTTATAAGGAGTATTCTGGCAGCACTGTATAGAGAGGTAGGTGAGGGAGGGGGCGTTTGAAGGGGAGGTTGGAAGCAAGGAGGTCAGTCGGGACGTTACTGCAGCAAGTCCCTTCGAGAACAGACAGGAGGCGGAACTCAGGCGGTTGGGAGTGAGGGTGGATAGAGGAACACAGGAGAGAGTGACCCCGAATTAACGTTTGGGGTGAGGGAGGGGACAAGTTCAGGTGACATCCAGATTGCAGTGAGCGCAAGCGTTAGATAAATGGGGGGAGACGTTTTTGTTTTTTTTTTTTCAACTATTGGGTTTTTTTAAAGGATGAAGTTTTAAAGGTTTGTCTGTTTGTTTGAGAGGGGGAGGGAGAAAGGGATCAATGTGTGAGAGAGACATCGATTGATTGCCTCTCGCATGTGCCCTACCCAGCAAGGGGCCCCTGCAACCCAGGCATGTGCCCTGACCGGGAATTGAACCAGCAGTCTTTTGCTTTGCAGGATCATGCCCAACCAACTGAACCACACTGGTCAGGGCAGTGAAGTGTGGTGTTTTTTTTTTGGTTTTGTTTTTTAAAGATTTTATTTATTTATTTTTAGAGGGGGAGAGTGGGAAAGGGAGAGAGAGAGAGAGAGAGAGAGAGAGAGAGAGAGAGAGAAACATCAATGTGTGGTTGCTGGGGGTCATGGCCTGCAACCTAGGCATGTGCCCTGACTGGGAATCGAACCTGCGATGCCTGGTTCGCAGCCTGTGCTCAATCCACTAAGCTACGCCAGCCAGGGCAAGTGTTTTTTTTTTTTTTTTTTACGTGCAAGATATTTGAGAACTTACAGACTGAAGGAAAGAGAGATTAAAGATACAAGAGAATATAATTAACGGTGTGAGAGCTTTAGACATCTAATGTCAGTGTCTGAGATGGAGGATTCTGCCGAGAGGGTGGCTGAACTGCTGTGTGGGGATGGATGGAGGCCAGGGAATGGAGTGGAGGGAGGGGGTCGAAGTGCTGGAGTAAGGAGGAGAGCGGTTGAAGGGTGAGGTCAAAGAGGAGGTGTATTTGGAGGGGACACCTAGCTCAGCTCTGGTTGGGTCCAGTGATTACTTAAACCAGTTTGTGGTAAAACTGAGGGACCTGAGAAACAGATTTAGGAAAACAAAAACAGTTTTTGGAATGTATTCTGTTCCCTTGACTTGCTTATTCTCAGCCCTTCTGGATCACATGCGCAGTGAGTATAAGTAAGTACGTGGGGTTCACACAGGGGCCCGCACCTTCAGGGTGTTCCAGTCATTCTCACGGGAGTACAGGGTTGGCAGAGGGGTTACTGCGTTTTAAGCACATTAATCTCTCTCCCCTGGTCAACTTATTCATTTAATTTTAGCTCCCTATAATCTCTTATTTTGCAAATACTAATAATTCTTGAGCTTTGTTAAATCTTCTTTACTCTTACCTTTAGAAAATAGATTCATCTTACCTTTGACTTTTTAAAAAAGATTTTATTTTATGATTTATCTTTAGAGAGAGGGGAAAGGAAGGAGAAAGAGAGGGAGAGAAACATCAGTGTGTGGTTGCCTGTCATGCGCCCCCTACTGGGGACCTGGCCTGCAACCCAGGCATGTGCCCTGACTGGGAATTGAACTAGCGACCTTTTGCTTCACAGGCCTGTACTCAGTCCACTGAGCCACACCAGCCAGGTCTTACCTTTGACCTCTAAACCTTATGTGATCAAGCTACAGTTTTAAATCTAGCTTTGTTTTCATAAAATTGATTTATATGACTGTCTTATTGTGTAGTAGAAAAATTTATACAAAGATTAAAGGAAAAATTAACCAGTATTTAAGAACATTTTACTCAACAGTGTGTGTGTATTTCTAAATATGTGTTGGCCAAATGCTTTAGTGAAAAGTATATTGTTTTTCTTAAGTTGGAGAAACTTTTAAAAATAACTTGTAAAAACATGATATGTTATATATCTGTCCAAAGGGTCCAGAAGCAGTGATACATTATTAGCAGCAATGAGTACACCTTGAGACCAGCTCTTGGTTTTAAAAAAAAACATCTCCTACTGAAAGAACCCAGCCCTTGGAGAATGGCTGATTCCAGGGCTGGTACCGGGAAAGTACAAAATGGAACATCTATGCCAGAAATCAAGGAAGTACTCAAATAAATGGTGAGGACGTGTCAAAAAAGACACAGAAATCAGCTTGAAGGACTTCCAACTTACTGTGTCAGAAACTATGTAATAACAAAACAAAATGGCTTATATTCCTATTGAATTAAATAAGAATCCATACTTTTGGTAAATAAGTAAATACATGGGTAAAAGGGAAAGTTTACCATAGAATGTTAAGTAATAAATTTGTAAGAATGAGAGTTAGAAAAAAAATATATATTTTAAAGATTTTACTTATTTACCTTTAGAGAGAGGGGAAAGGAAGGAGAAAGAAAGGGAGAGAAATGTGTGTGTGATTGTCTCTCATGTGCCTCCCACTGGGGACCTTGCCTGTATCCCAGACATGTGCCTGACCAGGAATTGAACCAGCGACCCTTTGGTTCACAGACCGGCGCTCAATCCACTGAGCCATAGCAGGCAGGGCTAGAAAAATAATTCTGCAACCATTATAGAAAGTTGTTCCAGACAAGAATCGTTATGGATGCTAAACCTAATAAGCAGAAATTTTGTAAGGTATAAGACATTATAAATAGGATATATATAGTTTTTCCAGAAAGTATTCGACCATGTACTATGAAAAATGGAGATATTTATTTGAGAAGATACAAGATACAAGAAACATTTCACATAGGACAATGATTGTGGTCTCTGTCCCTTCAAAATAGGCACCTTGGGACCTCACATAGTTCTCTTAATCGCCATCAGCTGCCCTGTCATATTTTCCTGAATCTCAATGATGATCTGAAATCTCTTCTCCTTCAAAGGTGATTTTAGTTCTGGGAAAAGCCAGAAGTCACAGGGCACCCAATCTGGGCTACAGGAGGGCTGAGTCACCTGGGCAGTTTGATGTTTTGCCAAAAAACTGCACAAATCGTGATGCATGAGTAGACACGTCGAGGTGAAGCTGCCAGTCACCAGGTGCCCATAGCTGCAGCCTTCTGAATCATTCAAATAGTTTACACAGAACAATGTTCAAGCTTAACACAAAATTTGATGCAGATTTGTTACTCTGTTCTTTCAGTCATTTTGAATGCGACAGCCACACAGCACGCATGCTCACTCAACAGCGTCTACTGCCCCCACTGACTGGTACAGTGAAGTCGTTGTTGTTCACACATGCGCATTCCAGTCCCCTCTCCTGGGCTGCCAGGTTACATGGATGTTGAGCAAACTGTTCTCATCATATTAACAGTGGCTGGGCTTTTTCTGGACAGACCTAGTATATATAAAAGTATCTCTCCACAAATTACTTATTAATAACAAAGAAAGGAATGATAAAAAGTAAGAAATTACGGCGTAGAAACTCCCCTTTAACCAAGTGATCAATGTTAATAAGTTTTGCCATAATAGGACATACTGATAAACTTGCCTGGTATGATGCCCTGAGGATACAGTATCACTTCTGTTATGTATCTGCCAAAAAAGCATAGCACCAAGCCTCATGCAGAAATACCAGTAAGACCCTAGTTGAGGGACATTCTGTGAAACAGCTGGCTTGTGCTCTTTAAACATGCCAGTACCGTGAGAGATAAAAGCTGAGAAACTAACTGTTCCAGGTCGATGGAGACCACAACAAGCGTCTGGAAAACAAAACTCATTGTTTGATCTTAGACGAGATCCTAGATTAGAAAATCACCCCTGGCTGGCGTAGCTCAGTGGATTGAGCGCGGGCTGCGAACCAAAGTGTCGCAAGTTCGATTCCCAGTCAGGGCACATGCCTGGGTTGCAGGCCATGACCCCAGCAACTGCACATCGATGTTTCGCTCTCTCTCTCTCGCTATCTCCCTCCCTTCTCTCTCTAAAAATAAATAAATAAAATCTTTAAAAAAAAAAGAAAATCACAAGTTGCTAAAAGACTTGACTGGGACAATTGGCGACATTTGAGGTCTGCAGGTTAGATTATTGTATTTTATCACTGTTAATTTTTCTCATTTTGGTCATTATACTGTGGTTATGTAAGGGAATGTCTGCTCTTAGGAAATACATCCTGAGTGATGTGTTCTGTGACTTATTTTCAAAAGGTTTAGGGAAAAGAAAAACAGAAAAAGAGTGATAAAGCAAATTGGGCAAAATGTTAACAGTTGAGTCTGCTGCGTGCTATTCTTGCAAATTCTAAATTTGCAATTAATTCAGGATGAAACATACAGAATATGTATATACGTTTTAATATATCTTCCCTATCCCAGAATTCTTATTTCGCTGGAACATACAAAACT